ACTCATCAAAGGATGCCGTTGTGCTGGTTGCCATTTAAGATCTAAACCACCGCACCAAAATAATTACCAAGAGCCTATGGCTCTACTGAGACTGATGCAAACATGCGAAGCTACGCAAAGAAAACACATTTAGCTGCTCTAGCTAAAAATTACATTTCTCCAAACAGCAAGATCTGAGGTATTATAAATACACAGGCTTCATGCTTCCAGCAGAGGGCTCTAAAGATAGATAGGAAGACAGGCAGACAGACGAGATTTTGGGAAGCGGAAGGTAAATATTTTAATTGTTTTGAAGGGAGGCCTGCTGTTTGAGGAAATCAGACTCAACTTCCCAAAGGTGAATTAGAGTCACCACCACGACTCCTAAGTGCGTGTTTGCAGTGGCGTATTTTTGCTTATTAGTAAAGGGACACTGGCCTTTTTATCACAATCAGTACCAAGCCCTTTTATTCTTGGGTCTCCACAGCGTATTCAGGAAGCTCTTATCACATCTCAATTAGCGCTTTGTGACGCAAATGATTCTGGATTAAATGGAAACAGTGAGCTCAACAAAGGCCCATCCATCCCTTGATTGTTTTCCCCTCCACAGCGTTTCTCTGTGGGATGGAGTGTCCCAGAGGAGGTGCCCTCTCCTCTATGGTCAAGGGGGCACCTGTGATGTGTTTTCAGATGGCGGCATTATTTAAAAGCACTTGTAGAGTCCGAGGGAAAGTATCTACTGTCGAGAGACGGTTTTAGGCCTAGTTGTGAAAAGATGAAGTCAGGAAAGAATAAAAAATAAAAGGTTTTACTGAGCCAATAAAGCTGAGATGGCTTTAGCTTAAAGTGTCATGGCTTTAGAGTCAGGACTTACATTCTTACCTCTTCTGACACTGATTTTAACGAATTTATATATGACTTTAGAGCCACAAACAACATGGTTACTGTTAATGTATTCATATACAATCCTCCCAAACAATACTGGCACATCCAGCATCTGGCCTACAGAAAAGCTGGAGTCCTTCAGGGTAGAGAGGGAGGGCTGTAGCCACATGCTGAGGTCCCTCATTCTAGAACAGGCATACAAGGGTAATGGGAATTCAAGATAAATTACGATTTACGGAGAGAGACACACCACATAGGTTTTTAAAAAATTAGCTTCCTGAAACTTTAAGAGCCGAGATTGAACTTGGTTACTAACTACAAATAAAGATAGGCCCTCATTTAGTAACACACAGACATAATAGTTTGGGTATTGTAGTTATTAAAAAAAAAAATCCAAAAACCCAAACAGCCCTAAGATGTACCTTTGGATCGAACTGCTCCCTTATCACCCAGCCTCTCGCACTCATAAACTCTTCCTGGGGCAGACCTCCTCTGGCCTGACGCTTGCCTTGCTGCTCAGGATCTTCTGCAGCTGTCCTAGGGGCCAAAAGATTCCCTGGGGTCGGGGCCACCCTTCCTCACACCAGGAAACTGGCTTCCTCCTTCTGCTAAGACCTTACCCACATTTACTCCTCCATGCCCTGAACTGGCCTGCCACCTGCTAACAGAGCTGATGGAGATTTGTAGACTTAGATACCTAACCATCATCATTTACAACATGATCTTTGTGGGAACATCGCAGATTTGTTCTGAGACTCTATCAAGGTAGAAATTCCTAGTTGTGATTCTGGACGGTTAGCATGGCACGTATTGGGGTGGATGGCTAACAGGCCGTGGAATCTCAACAATTATGTCCCGGGGGTTCAGAGGCCTACATTTTAAAGTACTGCTTGGATTATGATGATCTATTCAAGTATTTGTCTAATATAATAATTATTCATAGTTACTGACGTATTAAAAAAAAAGGTTGCAAATAAGCCAATAAACAGTGCAACTGGCTAGGAAAAGTCTGAGTTAATGCGCAAAGTTCAACTATTATACTAAGTTATCAGCGATTCAAAACTCGAGTTAGAGAGGTTTCCTTAGTAGGTGTCAGAATGGAGATTTAAGATCTGTATTATTGTAGTTATACAATGAAAGTCTTTTAAAAAAATAACACCATTTAAAAAAAAATCTGATTTAAAAACCACACTCCATGTGGTTTTCTGCATAAAGGCTTTAATACGTGCTTTTTAGGTAATACAATTACACACACAGTTAAAACTGTTTACTACAATTCCTTCTTAACCGGGAGGTTAATAACCAGGATAAACTATTATTACATGAATGAGGCTGGAAGACAGACGAGGTTCAACTCCTTAGGTTCAACCACTCGTTTGCGGAGAACCTTGGACAAATTACTTTGAATCTTGGCTTACTGACCTGTAAAATGGGAGTAACGGCTACAAATACCTACCCCAATGGAGTGATTAAATGAAACAATCTACGTATCTGACCACAGAGCTTGACGTGTCATCCTCAACGAAGCCAGATATTACTAGGTTTGCATGTGGTACACATTTTCAACAATTCAAAGAGCTCTCAATGGGCCTACGGTGATTACGGCACTGGGTGGACAGGTCACTCTCCAGCTCAAGCCCTACCGGTGGCTTCTTCTCACACTCGGAATAAAATTCAAAGTCCTTGCCCTGATCCCATGTGATCTAGCTTCTGGTCATGTCTCAGACCTCATTGCCGGGACAGACCCTTCTGTACCTGTGGTTTCAGGTGCTGCAAACACCCTTCACAAGGCTACCACCTTCACTTCATTTAGCTTTGTCCATAGGTCACCACAGAAAGGTCTCCACCCAAAAACTCTTTCTGCCACCGCCTCCACTAGATCTTTATCTCCTTACCTGCTTTATTCTCCTTTATATTTGCGCACTTTTCCATATACTTGTATACTTGACCGGTCACGTCATTACAGACGCATTTACTCATTTGCTTATTTGTCTCCCCCCCCCCCCACTGGAACGTAAGCTCCCTGAGGTCAGGGAATGCACCTTACACACAAGTATATCCTCCATTTCCAAAACACTGTCTGCATTTAGAAGGCTTGCGATAAACAGTCATCGAACAACTGAATTCAGCAGAATACAGAAATGTGTCAACGCGTTGTGGGGGGGGGGGGCGGTTTATCATCTCATATGGAAGATGAAACATTCACAACCATGATACTTGTATTATTGCCCGAGTCACTTTGAATCTTGAAGTGATTGCTAAAATGCATGATGAATTTTTGCTATCTTCATCCAGGGGTTAATTGTTGAATTTTAAAAAGCCGTTCGTGTACACTCACTGAGAATAGGACTGACGACTAGTCAGTCTCTGGTTTGTTGATCACAGGTAGTTAACCGTGCCTTCTGCATGAAGAGGCACACATATAAATGCACTTGGAATATTCGGGGTATAATGTACTACTGGCATTGCATTTAGCAGACGTGCTCACTCAAGCCTAATGTGCAGGTGTAAACTTCTGGATCACGGTTCTGTGCATTTTATCATCCAAGTGAATGAGAAGCCCTGAGCCAGAACCTTGCCTGGTACAGAGAAGCTGGGACAAGGGGGAGAAGACCAGCTCATTCTACAGGGAGCCTAGGCTCTCATTCCTGAAAACCAACTGGTCTGGTGGCTTCAAGAGTCACTAAGGCCCAGGTGGAAGGCAGCACCCCCCTCCCCCACTTGCATGCAACCCTCGGCTTACTCAGGAATACATAACAAAGAAAACTAGTGAAAGTCTCCCACTGACAAGACATCATCTCTTCGAAATTGTAAAGCCTCTGCAGGTTCCCCTGCTACTGTAGCTACTCTTACGAAGGTCACCCCCCCCCCCAACTCTGAGTGTAGCAAGAACACCAATAGAATGATTTTGAACACGTCTTTTCATGGGGAACAAAGATATCCATTTAGAGTTAATAGAAACAATTTTTGTAAAGGGCCACAGGTAAACCCATTCATTTTTTTTTTTTTTTTACAAAGAAAATGCTTGTTCCCTTTCCAAATTAAGGCAGCGAGCAAAATGAATGTTTGCTTTCAAGTGTCATACCTTCAACAGTAGTTTTAGTTGGACAGATCTCGCAGAGAGCCCCCTGCATGTCGCAGGGACTGCACAGTCCTAGCTGTATTGCTCATTGGCCTCGCGGCCTTGGGTACATTATGACGTCACCTTGGCCTCGATTTCCTTATCTATAAGATGGATGATGCTATCTACCTCGTAGGGATGTTTTGAGAAATAAATTAAGACACGTAGGAGCATCGGGCACACTGTCTGGCATGTAGAAAGTACTAGACAAATGCAAAGCATTACATTCACTCATTGTCTAGGATTTGCTACTTTCTCCCCATAATCATATGCTTCTTCCCTTAACAACAGAACTAGTTTTTGCTGGGTGCGTGGTTGCCCAGCAAAAGATCACATGTCCCAGGCAGGCGTGAACACGTCTCAATTCTGGTCAGTGGGTTGGGGGTAGGAACAGTGTGCAGCTCCCCAGAAAGGAAGGGCCTCCCCTCCAGGCTCTCCTCCCTCTGGGCAGAACCTGGTGACTCTCTTCCACCAAACCCACATAAGCAATTCTCCAGGTCACAGTGGCCCGCTGGGAGAGAAGGTGCTGACACCCTGCAGGGATCACCCTGCCTCACATCCCCTGGCCGGCTCTCTCGCCTGCTGGGATTCCTGTTTGAGAAAGACAAACGTCTAGACTGTTGAAGCTCTAACTGTTTGGTTTCTGTTGAAGTGGCCAAATCAATACTTTAACTAATATAAGCCTGTTTAACTTAGTTTTAAAGTATAAAAGTTTAAAGGAAAGCATCTTGAGATTTATAGCCATTCTCCTCCATATTGACGAGCAGCTCCTTGATGTCAAGTCTGTGCTGAGAAAGACCATCTCCTCCTGCTCCAATCGTAACACTTCACAGGTCACAGGTGAACACCCGGATGGCTGTGACAGCAATCCAGAATCCAGAACTAAGTGACCAGCCGCCTTCCTGGGAAGGGGCTGCTGGGAAAGGTCACAGGGTGAGTGGGGCTCACACTCAAACACGAAAACGGGCCACCCAGTGTATTCCAGCATCAGAGACTCTTGGCAGCCACCACCTACCAGCCTGAGGTAGTTCTGTAGCATCTGAAGAGGGATCATTGACGCGTAAGTCACACTACTGAGGCAGCCTTCTTGAGGACCTATGAGAAAGCAATACACAGAAGGAAATTGGTTCTTCCAGATATATGTACTTTTTTTTTTTTTGAGAGAGAGAGAGAGGGAAGAGAGGCAGAGAGAGAATCTCAAGCAGGTTCCAAGCCCGTGAGCCCCTGACATGCTGCTCAACATCACAACCCTGAGATCATGACCAGAGTCAAAATCAAGAGCCAGACGTTCAACCAACAGAGCCAGCCTGGCGCCCTGGTTCTTCCTTATTAAATACAAATGATCAAAATACAACAAAACCTGTCATAAAAGATACAACAATGTCTGTTGACTTACATCCGCAGAGCGGACATCTGGCCAAGTGGTACCTTGGTGTCTTTACCGCTTTGCACTGGCTGGTCCACGGCCACTGCTCCTGGCCTCCCCGGGGCTCCCCAGCTGCCCTTCCTTCCCCCCGGAAGCCCAACCACCTCCTGTCTATCATAGCCAGGGCCTCCAGATCCTCGCTCAAGTACTGTAGCTAGTGTCTGCTCCAATCCCTGGAGTCACTGCTTTACTGTTCATAAGCAAGCGGTCTCAGAGGCAATCCCAGCCCTTCGGAAGTTCTGGCCTGGGGAGCATTACTGCGGCTCTGGGGGTTACCCTTTACGTCCTTTCCCAAACTCTATCCCCCTCACTCCCCTTCCAAGTTCTGCTACTCTCTCAATACAGTGCTCAAGCCTGCAGGAATTTCCTGGGATAGTCTCCTCCCCCTTTTTATGACTTCATTAAGTGGTTCAAAGAATAGAATATAACTTTCTTAGTTGAACTTTTCAAGACTCCATTCCCAGATGTGAGAAATACATGAGGAAATCCCTTTCAGGGCGAAGGGCTGAGAAACTGCGTACACCTGTGACGCTTACCAGCTATGGAGACAGAGAACAGAAAATTAACCTGAGCCTTCGTTTCTTCGTACGTAAAGGAAGGGTAAACAAATACGTATCTCACTGGGTTGTTACAAGGAGTCATTGAACTTTTATACTCGTGCTATAAACGACAGGGCCTGGCACAAAGCAGGTGCTCACGAAACATCACCTTGTACCGTTATGATAACCATACACTAGACTCGAGAGTAACAGGAGGCGGTCTCGGGCAGCCCGGGTGGCTCAGTGGTTTAGCGTTGCCTTCAGCTCGGGGCGTGATCCTGGAGACCCGGGATCGAGTCCCACGTCAGGCTCCCTGCATGGAGCCTGCTTCTTCCTCTGCCTGTGTCTCTGCCTCTCTCTCTCTCTCTCTCTCTCATGAGTAAATAAATAAAATCTTAAAAAAAAAAAACACGGTCTCTTGTCACTCTCTCAGCATGTCAAGTTTAGCCTCTGGTTCACTCCTAAGAAGAGAGGTGACCAGAAGCTCAGCGGTGGTGGCCTAAGTAGCTCAGCTGGTTAAGCATCCAACTCCCAATTTCAGCTCGGGTCATGATCTCAGGGCCGTGAGACTGAGCCCCGCAGAAGGCTCCCCTGTCACCACCTGCTCCTCCTTCTTCAGCTCCTCCCCCACCCCCACAAACAAACAAACAAATAAAAATCTTAAAAAGGAAAAAACACAGTCACAGCAATCAATAATCAGGATGGATACCACAGGTTCAGAAATACAGCTTTTGAGTTTTTTTCTCCTTAATCAAATGTTTGGAAAAAAAAAAAAACAACCATCTGATTACTTAGTAGAGGGAGTCGTACACGCAGTGCTAGAGAAGGCAGGACAGAGACGCAGATTTAAGAACGGGCACTGCGAGCCAATCACGAAGCCAACACTCGGTTAAGATCACCTCAGTCTGGACCATCCTTACCTGATAAAAGCACAGTGACTTGCTCGGCTTTATTCTTCTTCATAAAGTCCCACGGGGACTGGGAAAAGCTCTGACCTGCTGACCATGGCACATTTCCTAGTTTTTTTTAAAAAAAAAAAAAAAGAAAGAAAGAAAGAAAGGAAATAAGATGTCAAAGAAGCTTTAAAGTAATTTTTTTCTTATAAGGGCAACATGCAATCTCCTACGTGCGAACCGTAAGGAATCCAGAGCTTAAACTGCCAAGGGCACGCGCAGAGTATGTGAGAGTCATGTTACCTCCCCAACACACTATGGAAGGTCAGAAGGAAGGCCCTCCAACTACAGGCTCCTCCAGAGCAGCTTTTAAGGAGTAAGATAGAAATCTGGAGAGCAAAACCACTACTCAATATTTCTAGGGTTAAGTTTTTAGGAACAAAGCTGATAACTTTTTTTTTTTTTTAAGATTTTTATTTATTTGACAGGGAAGGGGGGAGAGAAGGAGAGAGAGCGCAAGAGGGAGCGAGAGCGCACACAAGTAGGGGGAGCGGCAGAGGGAGAGTGCAAAGCAGACTCCTCGCTGAGCAGGGAGCCCAATGCAGGCTGGATCCCAGGACCCTGCAGTCATGACCTGAGCTGAGATGCTCAACCCACTGAGCCACCAGCGGACCCGGGCAATATCTTTACATGGTTCTTGCTGTGCCTGCTTTGCAAAATCCAAGTACTTTAGATGAGGTAACAGGTCCTTTATGATCTGTTCCCTTTTCAACAAATTTTTAGATTCCAGGAAAAAAAAAAAAAAAAAAAAAGCCCAGGTAACTTCAGGAGCTCAGAATAAATAAAGCCAAGCGTTCTCAGAGTCTGGGCCCTCCGCTCACTCTTGCTCAGAAAGGGTCCCACTCCACAGGTGTCTACTCCAGGGAGGGATTCATAGTAAGGACTTGTCACATTCCTCCTCTTCCACAGATCTTAAATCCATAAATACTCTGACCACGCATGCATGCCCTACCTATAACTCATCGGTTATCTGTTGGCTTGGGCCCCTTTAATCTGGATAGGTTATCAACGTAGTATAGTCACTTACATACATGTATTAGTAACTAACGTCATAGTTGCTCATTGTCAAGCAGCTACAGACAGACACTAAGCTAAGCTCTTTAACCACACAACTCAGTGATGTCTGTGTCTGAAATGCTGCTATGGAGCCCCACACCTCGGTGATAAGCATGAACACTGGAAGCATCGGGCCTTAGCATCCGCGGCTCACACAGGTAGATCTCTCTGATGGTGGTAGGTATCTACTTGCTTACGCCTGCTTGCTTCCAGATTAGCTGGGTGACGGCTGGTGATGAAGGGCCATTTTCTTCAAAACAAGTCTGTGCTGACTGCATTTATTAGACCCCTTGGTCACAACCACACCTTGAGTAATAGTCCATTGTGTGGGCAGAATGTGTTCCTGAGAATAATTTATGACACTGTCTTAATGCAACGGTTTAACCATATAATAATTCCTCTTTAGTAAGTATTTCAATGTTCTTGCCGGAGATTCATAAAATTAAGTTGTCAGGATTAATCTGCCTTAAAAACTAATAAAATACACATTTTGTAAGTGACTTAGCATATATTAGTTAATAGAATAGAACACTTTCTGATAGAATAAGCTGACCTAGTAAAAGCATGGTGAAACTCACCCTCTCTCCTCAATCTTGACTATTCTTTTGCAACATAGTGCTGTTGACGGACTGGGATTTGAATCCCGTTTTACTTCTTAGCTCTGTGATCTCAGGCAAGTCATCTTGTAACTAGTTTAGTTATTTGTAAAATGAACCTGTTTTAAGGATTCGTTGAAGTGCTGCGTATAAAGCTCCCAACACAGTTCTGAAATAACAGCAGCTTCCCCAGAGATGCTAGTTCTCCTGGTATAAGAGGAAACAAACTAGCCAGGGACATTTAGAGAGCACCTAGCTATGCTTACAAGAAAGAAAATCTTATTTTTTTTCTTTTTAAGATTTTATTTGAGTGAGCGAGCAAGTACGCAGGGGGAGGAGCAGAAGGGGAGGGATAGGGAGCGGGAAAGAATCCCAAGCGGACTCCACGCTGAGCCGAGAGCACAGAGCCTGAGGTGTGGCTCGATCTCACCACCCTGAGATCATGAACTGAGCCAAAACCAAGAGTCGGTCACTTAACTGACTGAGCCACCCAGATGCCCCAACAAATCTTATAAGTTCTTCGGAGTCTGTTTCATGTGCCTATCAAACAGAAAGAACCACCCTGACTCATCCCACGTGGGAGCTCTGATTTTTATCTTCAATGAAGAGCGCTTCTTCCAACTCTAGACTTCATTAGGATTCCTGTCCTGGAGAGAAGGTGTTAACGTACTACAAGCATCCCTGGCACAGCCCCAGTACAAGTCTGGAGCTATGTTCGGAACTTGTGCCTCAGTAAGCAGCTGCAACGTGGTTAGTTTCTTGCATTTATCAGAAGAGCAAGTGCAATCACAAAGCCTCATCAAGGGCTTTCTTGTTCTCTACCAAGTATTATCTGACACATAAAAGCATTTTTTATACTAACAGGAAAAATTATGTAAGGGCTGCATTGTGAATACTCAAGTTTTTCAGCGCTAGCAGCTGTCACAAGTGAGCTCTGAATGTATTTAATCAATGAACTAAGTGCCAGGTTATGGAGCCCATAAACATAAATAAACCCAGAAATTTAACTTTCTCCTTATCACAGGATTATTGATACCTAGCATGACGGATCGCACGCTGCTTGTACTGAGGCCAATGCTGGAGTCGGTCGTGTTATTAAACGTCACATCCTCCAGACTCCGCCATCCATCAGATGAGATTGCTTGGAAATGATTTGTCAGAGCTTGACTCACTGCTTTTGAAAAATCATCCCATGATGTCTGTTTGCGGATATTTAAAGCGCATATTGTGTTTTCACATTCAAAGTCATCTGAACCATAGGTGCCTGGGGGTATCTCACCCACTGAAATCCTTAAAGGTATTTTAAGAGCGTCTGTGGGAAGAATGAAAGAATTAGGAAAAAGAACCTTGATAGGAAAAATCAGCAAAGCACTTATATACAATAGGCAGATACAAACATTTTAAAAACAAAGGGTAGCTATCAAATTTCTTTAGCTGCTATTAACTGAATGCCCTTCTACCACGTAAACCTTGGTCTCTCAAACTCTTCACAGTTTCTTTGGAACCATGTTGCTTGAATTGTTTATCTTCCCTTGTATCTTTGGCCTGCTGTTGTTCATTGGCTCTTCCCTTCAGCCAGACTCTCAAGTTCTTTAAAAAAAATAAAAAATAAAAAATTGGGGAAAACGAGAGCGTTCTCTTGATCCCCGATTCTCTAAGCATCCCTTTCTCTTCACCTTCAAGGACAACATCATGAAAAAAGGCAGGTTACGGCTGTAGAGGGTGGCTTCAGACTCTTAGACACGTTGGTCTGAGCCTCAGGGCCAGCCTCCCAGCAGCCACACATACTTGGTAAATTGTCTTGATCTCTCTAGACCCCAGTTCCTTCTACAAAATGTTAGGAATGTGCTAGTAATAGTAAATTGTTATGAAGACTAAAGGAACTCATATTGGAAATGAATTTAACACACTATTGGTTACATGGTAAATACGAGTGAGTGTTCAATAAATAGCAAATGGTGCAGTGGAGGCTTTTAAAATAATCTTTCCAGTCTCTCTTGTGACACCAGCTGACTGAGGCTCCCCAAGGTGGGCGGTGCACCATGTACTTGAATCTTTTATATCTACTGAACTCATGACTATAATCAGCATATTAAATATTCCATATACTGATGAAATGTGCTACTCCTATAAAAATGAAGTTGAACATTTTAGAAACTCTGAACAAAGGCGGTATTAAAGAAATCCTCTAATGAGGTATAGATGAGACAATTACATAAAATTAGAAGAAGAAAAAAACTTTAGACAGATGCTGCCTTTAGTTAGCTTTATCATTATCTATAAGTCCTAAAACACCAGAGATCATAGATGAAGCATAAGAGGAGTGGTTTTCAAATAAGAATATATGGAATTTCACTCAGCCAAACCATACTAAAATAAAGACCTTCACTTGAAAGTTGATGAAACAAATATTTGTATGATTAAAATTAAATGTTAAAAACGATTCCCTTCTTAAACTGGCTTTTTCTATGAACCAACTATTAGATTAGTTTCTTTTCCTTTTTTTAATAAATTTAAATGTTTTATTTATTTGAGAGAGAGTGAGGCTGAGCAGGGGGGAGGAGCAGAGGGAGAGAAGGGAGGGAGAAGTAGACTCCCCACCAAGCAGGGAGCCCAATGTGGGCCTTGACCCCAGGACCTCAGGATCACGACCTGAGCTGAAGGCAGACACTTAACTGACTGAGCCACCCAGGTGGCCCTAGGTTAGTTTATTTTCCAATTATCACTCATTCTCAGCTCTCATTTTGTCAACAGCATTTGATACAACTAATCTCTCTCTGTTCTCTGATACACCCCTACAGGATTCCCTCATGCCTCACTGGTCACTCGTCAATGGTTCTTTGCTGGTCCCTCCACACTTTCCAGATTTCTTTCTTTCTATCTATCTATCTATCTATCTATCTATCTATCTATCTATCTATCTATCTATTTATTTATGATAGTCAGAGAGAGAGAGAGGCAGAGACACAGGCAGAGGGGGAAGCAGGCTCCATGCACCGGGAGCCCGATGTGGGATTCGATCCTGGGTCTCCAGGATCGCGCCCTGGGCCAAATGCAGGCGCCAAACCGCTGCGCCACCCAGGGATCCCTCCAGATTTCTTAATGGTGGAGTGTTGCAAGGCTCCTTTCTCTTACTTTTTCTGTGTTTGCTTCCTTAGTGATCTCATCCAGTCCCATGACTTTAAATATCGTCTATAAACTGCTGACTCTCAGGTTTATGCAACCAGCTCATACTCATCTCCGGAATTCCTGCTGACTTGGCATCTCCACACAGATACCCTAACAGACATCTCAAATTCATACTTTGAAAACGGAGCTCCTGATCCTCATTAGCAAAATCTGCTTCACCTTGACAGGTGATGGCCACTCCATCCTGCCAATCATTGAGTCTAGTACCTGGGGCAGATGCACAAATTCCGCCCTGCCCCACCCCACCCCCATACATCAGATTCAATCCATCAGCAAGTTCTACTGGCTATACCTTCAGTTGTGTCCAGAACCCCATCACTTCTCACCACTTCCCCTGTGACAATCCTAGATTGAGCTGCTGTCTCTCATTGGACGACATCAAGGGCCTAACAAGTCTCCCTGACTTCTCCTGGGACTTCCTACAATCATTCTCAACGAAGCAGCCACAGCTACCATGAAAATGTACAGTGGATCCTGTTACTCTGGAGCTCGAACACTGAAATGGTTATCCATGAATTCCTACCGGATTAGGCTGCCATCCCATCCATCTTATAACCGCTCTCCCCTTGCTCATTCTAACTTAACACTCGGTCCCCTCTAGGGCTCCTCGGACACACTGGCATCCTCCTACTTGAGGGTCTCTGCCCACTTGATGACGGTTGGCCTGGGAAGCTCTGGGCCGAGGTGTCCACAGAGCCGCGCTGCTCACCTCCCTCAAGTGGTTGCTTCCTGTCTCACCAGGGAGGCTACCCTGACCATCATTTTAAAAACTGAAGCCCATCCTCACACTCCCATTCCTCCCAAGTCGTTTCCACAGCATGTATTACCACCTCACATACCATGTAATAAATTATTTTTTATGTTTATTGTTCATTTTCTGTCTCAATGTTAGAGTAGAAGTTAAAGTCGAAATACTAATAACATAGCTGGATGACTGGACGGGGCTGAGAATCTTGATATCAGAAGTTGTAATATTTTGTAGGATCTGAAACTCCATATTCCATAAACCCACAACCTTTAGAACATGTGAACCTTTTAGAACATGTGTTGAGGAGTGTATATTCTGGGAGCCGGAAGACACCCAAAAGATCAATTATTTTCACAGGCAGGTAGGCAACTAGGCATCGAGAGAGAAGTAAGATTCCCACATTCATATGATCAGCTGATGGCAAAGTATCCCGGCATGATTCTTCATACCCTTAGGAGTCTCATGTCTTAGGGAGACCATCTAAGTCAGAAGAGCAATAATTATTTAAATATTGTCTAAGGTCATTAAAATACAAAGGAGATCGAGCATTATTTGACTAGCAACTCATTCTGTAAAAAGCCAATTCTACACGGAAAAAAAATAATTACCACATTTATAATCAATAAAATGTTTTGGAGTTCGAGGGTTCAAAGAAGGCTAAGAGGAGAAGGAGAAAACTGGAGCTGCATGAGTATCTCCCCATTGTGGCAGAGGCCCCAGCAGTGCGGAGGAAGGATGAGCAAAGCTGCGAACGGCACTCACTCAGGTTCTCCAGCAGATGCTTGCAGTCATCGGTGGCGACATCGTGCGCGGTCCTATTGCACTTATCTCTCCTTTCTGGCTCAAGCCCTCCGTGCTTACACAAGATTTCCAGGCAGTTCTGCAAAGGCAAGGGCTCTATTACCTCACGTCCAAATGAAAACTCAAATGAAAAATCAACTCAAACAACCTGAAAGATCAATAAACTCAAATGAAAAATCCAAGGGGAAAGTCATTTGCCTCTAACAAGCAAATCAGAAATTCTCAGCTGGAAATCGTATTTCAATTCCAGCAACCCAAATACACACATCAATCTAAACATTGGCTCAAAATGGGGAGCAAAGAGTGCTTCATTCGAATGTGAATCGCAGCATCTCATGGCTCCACAGAACAGCTTCTTAGGTTTCGAAAGAAAAAAAAAACAAAAAACAACCACCAAAATACCCCCAGCTTTCTAATCATTAACTAGCAACTAATCGATCACTAATCACTAATCAGTATGTTACAGAGTGAAATTAAGAAAGAAACTGACTTCAGCAGAGTATCCTTTTAGGGCAACCTGGCAATATAAAGCAAAAGGACTTCTGCTACACCCGCTGCTCCTTGCTGTCCTCTGGACGGACGAACTGTTTTCCTGCTCACGTAAGCGCAGGGCTCCAGTTTTAACAATTCTGTCTCAGAGTCCCCACGATCACATTTATATTTGGGATCATCTACTGTCCTATTTTTTTTTTTATTTGAACAATATGAATGCCATGTTGACTGAGTTTTTAGAAAAATATTCCCAGTTGATATTGAAGTTCTATGTCCTCTCTCTTTTTTTTTAAGCTTTTTCTTCTTCTATGTTGCTTCAGGAAATCCCCATCAAAAAAGTTATAAGTAACCTATGAACTGAAAACTCTAAGTTCTCCAAATTTTTTCATAAAAAATTATTAGAAGACAACATACGTATAAACATTTTCAAGTAAGTAACTGCGTGGCAGGATAGAACATCAGGATATTCGCCAAGGACCTGTGCTAGATCAACTTTTACTACTTCATGATTTATGTCCCGACTTCTCACCAGAATAAGCACAAAACTGAAGAGACCAGAAACCATTAAAGGAACTAACAAGCAGACAAGCAACGTCCTTCTCATCTCTGCCCTACACACACACAGACACACAGGCTTTGGGTTGACTTCACTTCTACAACAGTAAACCAGGTAGTCTGAAAATCTTCCTCTAATCTTGCCAGAAAACATCCTCTTTTTCTGTTTTGTAAAACACAGAAACGTACTTTTCCCCCTTTTTTATGTAGATATTTTTATCGTCATATACTATCCTCATAGAAAAGCTCACAAAGAAGCTTGAAAAAGTCTCACAAAGTGAACACAACCATGTAAGGAGCCCTCTGGAAGCCTCCTGTACATTTCGTCCCCGTCACTAGCCCCCTCCCTTCCCCTCACAGATAATTACTGTGATGATTTCTAAGACCCGTTTGGTTTAACCCGTTTATCGACTTAGTATAAATGCAATCATATTGCAGTTTCATGTTTATATTTGGCTTTTCATTCAACAGAATGTCTATAAAATTCATCTATATGTTAGGACTAATCACGATTTATCTTCTTTAAAAAAAAAAAAAAGGCACTGTGGGACGCCTGGGTGGCTCAGTGGTTTGGCGCCTGCCTTTGGCCCAGGGCGTGATCCTGAAGACCGGGGATTGAGTCCTGCGTTGGGCTCCCTGCATGGAACCAGCTTCTCTCCTCTCTCTGCCTCTCTGTGTCTCTCATGAATAAATAAAAAATAAAATCTTGAAAAAATAAAAGGCACTGTGTGGTATTCCATGTGTGGTATATATGAATACATCGTAATTTCCTTATCCGTTCTCTTGTTAATGCACATTGGGTTCTACTACGGACATTCTAGTATGCGTCCTTTGATGGACACGTGTGCACATTTCTATTGGGTGTTATGTACAGAGCTGGCTGGCCTGCTGGGTCACGGGCTATGAGTATGTTGTTTCAGGTCAGTATATACTGCAAAGAGCTTTCAGAAGTAGTTGTACCGATTTCCACCCCCACCAGGAGTATATGTGAGTTCCAGTTGCTTCCTATTGCCCCCAAAACAGACTTTATACATGAGTTCATGAGGAAGTGAAGGAAATCTCTAATGGTCAAAAAGAACGAAAGAAAGCTAAAACCTCCCATTAAGAGAAATCCGAACAGGATGCCAGCACTGGTGTGAGGGCAAAGCTGATGTAGGGAATCTTTTCAGATGCTGGGGGGATGGGAGACTAGGTCTTTGGAGCCCCCAAAACGGAGCCGCTGGACCAGAGGTTTAGAGGGAACTGATTAGGACTTTGGTTTCTCGCTGTGCCTTCTCAGGTTGGAGGGATCTCTCTAACACGTGTAATCACAGTCTACAGGGGTTCAAATCTAAAAACGCCCAAAGCCAAAAATGAACTGAAAACAAAGCCAAAGATATAAAGAACAGTCCTTATCAAATTGTTATGACGAATTTGTATAATACCAATAAATGCATTAGGTAGTAAATGAGAAATTCAGAAATGCTGATTTAGAAATGAACTTTAATGGGAAATCGAATAGAATGCAATTGGAGCAGTAAACTTTGTGAATTCCCAGAGAAGAGATAAAAATAACACATTTTTATACAAGTTAGTACTCGCAGCAAAAGCAGGTAAGAGCCAAAGCAGACCTGGATCCTCATTCTGCCAATGCCAATATAAATGATTTTATCGATGACTTTTGGTAAATCATTTAACATTTTTGTTTCGGTTTCCTTATCTTTGTTTAAATATCTGTATTTATAGGGTTGTTAAATGAAAAGATGCGTAAAAACGTTCATATTCTCAGCATATACCGAGAATTAGTTGTTGTCATTAAAATCAACAAAATCGCCAACTAGAAAATAGCCCAGATATTCAATCAAGTGGTGAGGAATTACAGCACGTCAACAAATGTCAGAGATCTCAACATAATTCTAGGTGATGTTACTTCAAAGTTACAAACAGAAATGATAAAAGATGAAACCCAAATCTGCAAGATTCTTTTACCTTTGACCTTCAAAGTGGGTTGTATATAATCTTTATTATACTCAGCTAGCTCAGCGGGGACTAATACAAGCAGTGACTTTCTCTATAAGGAAGCAAGCAATGTCGGTCCCTCGGAGGCTAGCATGACAACACAAATCCAAACCCACTACAGGTGTGGATTCTACGCCATGCTGGACTCTCTGCGGAACACGGTGAAGTTCAAAACCTCCACCCAATTGACACTCAACAAGCACAGCTACTGGAGCGCATACTGAGTGCCAGACTAGGTGCCCATCAATCCCCACAACTTTAAGAAAGATGGACTAAGCCGTCTGCCAGGTCCTCTGTTAGAACTGAGGGTTGTGACGATGAGTAAGGTAACAGTTGTTACTTCTTAGGGAGGAACGCAAAGTGTAGTAGAGACATGGGCAAAATGGAGCTGAAGTGAGGTCCAAGGTTGTGCGAGGTTGGAAGAGGAGGGAAAGGTAGAGAGAGGAATCAAAGCTCTCTCCTCAATGGGAGGGGTTTGTGAAGAGGATAAATGCTGTGATGCCTCTCACTGCTTCTAGAATTGGTTCCCAGGGGTCCTGAACCAGGCAGGGTGTCCTTCCTACCCAAGTGATGTAGAGCAAGAGACCTGGACGACTGGGTTTCAACCAAAGTCCTATTAATTATGACAGACACACCTCTATTGTAACAGAGACTGCAACAGACAGTGGTTTAAGCTTTCACTTCCATTCCCATCCCACTCACCAGAGCTTAGGTAGGTTGATCTCACCACCTGCAAAGAGGCTGGAGAATGTGGTCTTCACTCTGAGGGGTCATGGGCCCAGAACTCAGCAGAATCCATTATTACAGAGGAAGGGGAGGAGCGATGTGGAGGGTCAGTGACCCACCTCTGCCATGATCCTTTAAGGAGAGCAGGGAAGCTAGGTAGAAGTGCCAGGGAGACGAAGGAGAAACCCCGAGTCCAGAGAGCTACATACAAGGGCAAAGTCAGGACAGGGAGTGGAGAGTCCAACACTGGGCGGAGGGGGGTAGGGTGAAAGCAGTCTGCAAACATGCAGGACGGGCCAGCACCGGTGCAGGGCATGCCCCGGGGGCTGGGGGGTGCCCGCTGTCTTGCAGGCCAGACAGAGGGAGGCTGTTAAGGTGAGAAATAATGACATAAGCAACGAGGTAGATTTAGGGGTGAGGGGCCAAAGACAGAGAGAGCTGGAGTTAGCTGTGAAGGGCTGAGCTCTAGGGTTGGCATGAAGGTATGTTTTGTGCAGGTGTGAGGATATGTTCAGGTAGCAAAGTGCCTGATTCTGAGGACCAACCGGTGCGTTTGGAAGGTATGCTGGAAAGGAAGGTGATAGGAAGGAGCGGCAGCCGTCCATTCACTCATCAGTTCAGCCAACAGTACTCGCCGGCCAGAGACTCTGCTGGACACAGGACATACGAAGATGGAAAAGTGATTTTTTTGGAGGAGATGGAAAGAGAGACAGGCATGCAAACAGTGAAAGCATAAGCGCTCCAAGTGAAGTGTGGAGAGGGCCCTGGGAACATCTTACTTCTGGAAGCCAAGACTTAAGTTGAGATGTTTTCCAGGCAAGGAAGAAGGGTCAGGATGGGAGGAGAGGCCGTCTGAGGTAACGGGAACACAGACGCAATGACAGGGAGAGAAGGGAGAGCAAAGGATGTTCGCACAGCAGCCAGCAGTGCCTGCTTACAGCACAGAACGCATTGGGGGAGGGGACAGGAAGTGTGCTTGTGGAGGTAAACTGAGTCCAGATCAAGAAGGGACTTGTCTGTCACCATACAGGTCTGGCACTTATCCTCGAAGTGACAGGCCCCTGGAAAAGATGCTAAGCAGAGAAATTACATGACCAAGTCCCCCCGCCTGAAAGGCCCCTCTCGGAGTGGGCTACGGGAGCAGAGGGTCTGCAGATGAGGAGACTTGCTGACCCCGCACAGATCCGGGCAGCAGACGAGGACGACCCCCCATGGGCAGTGCCCACGAGACATGGAGGGGGCAACATATTCATAATTCACACGCAAAGGAATAAAATCTAGAGTTGGACCAGTCATCTGAATTTGGTGGTAAGTGGGGAAGAGGAGCAAATAAACACAACTGCCAGGTGCTGGTACTGGATGAAGAGAGGACGAGGGATTGCAGCAGGCTGGCTGAGGAGCACCAACACAGGAGGCCGAGGGTGCAGCCGCGTGGAGCTCTCTGACCACCAGTGGGCTTACCAGAGAATGGCCCAAACTGGTACACTTTGAAGCGTGACAAGTGGGGGCTCTTAGTAATTCCACTGGGGTGACAGGCATCGAGGATGACCGTAGCGGGCAGAGGAACTCTGCTGCCAGGGTCTTCAAGGAGACGCCGTGTAAACGGTGGCCCTCCCGAGTAGCACCTTCCTGGACAGACTCAGGAGATGGTTAGGTAGGGCTAGAGGTAACATACTGGAACCTCTATAGATTATAAACTGGGGATCAGTACGGTCACTCAAGGGAAAAAGTACAGAGTGCAAGGAAGGAAAGGATCAAAACCCAGATGCATGAAAGCTGTTAGTGGGAAACAAGGAGAGTCCGTGTCTTGGGTGAGGGGTGGAGCGGGACTCTGGCTGGCTAAGTCTAGATTAGAATCCTTCAGAATCACTGCTGCTCAAATTAAGCAAGGATGCAATAATACTCTTCACTGAATATTCTGGAATAAGTGTTAAAAAAAAATAGCCTTCCCTTTGTTTGCTAACTGCTGACGTCAGTCTGGCCTTTTCAAAGATAATTTTATAAATAAACGTTAAGGGGGGAAAGAAAGGGAATAATTGTGGAGAACCCACAGCACAAAAACAGATTCCAAAGAGCAGATTTCTATTTATCATGATTAACGTCCAGTTCCAAAGAGTTGGGCCGACTGCTAGGTATCTTATCTTTGACCTCTCCCAGCCAGTTACCCAACTCCGAGTGACAAGGAAGAAATTTAGTGACTCCCAATCACCTTATTCTTTGCAGCCATGACCCAGGGAAAGGAAATCTAAATCTCGGGGCCCCGCGTGGGCCTCCATACTTAGACACACCCCCTTCTCCGGACCATCTGGTCAGGGTGGATGGTGCTGCGTGAGGGGAAGTGCCTGACACCCCCTGGATAAAACACAAAAATGTATGGGCACACCCCGGTCCTAGCACAATGCAGAATGGCCTAAAGACGGTATAGAGAGGGCCATGCCTCATCAGAGGGCAGGGGGCCTGCCCAGGGAGGATGACCTCTAGGATGCTGGAAATAAATGTCTGGGAGACAGGTAAAAAGCCAGCTGTGCAGATCTGGGTTTGGGACGGATTACTGCAGAAACCACAGGTAAAGCTGAAAGACCGGATAAGCTCTTAAAAAACAGGACCGGCCAACTCTAAGTGGAGCATGGGAGTTGCTCGTGGTTAAACAAAAGAGAAAAAAAACCAAGAGAAAGCCTGGTCATTGTATTTGGAGGGGAAGTGAGGGTGAGGCAGGGGTCTGAAAGCGGAGGAAGGGGTCTGCGTGAAGTAGCCCACCCGTTAACCCAAAGACACTGCGTAAGAGCCTGAGTGACGGGCCACCAGCTTCGGTCACACGCATAAGCTGGAACCATAAGCGAGCCCTGCAGCCAGACACACACACGCTCCTCCAAAATAAAGAGTCCCTTTGTACGAGAGCTTCAACAACAGAGATATCAAATTCAGATAATCTCCCTAGTGTTTCTGCCGCACAAACCCGACACGTCAAAGGTCTCGTGACACAACAGGGTTTCATGAAGGAACTCTTCTATTGACCCTGCGATGAAAACAAAGGTTTATGCTCAATGATTAGTCACAGGCCTGCTTTAGAGACGCACTCCATCACCAAACACTCAGTGGTGACCTGCGTAAATGGCTTAACCATTGGGAGAAAGACCAGGGCCTGAAGTGGGAAAAGCACTGGTTTGGGAACCTGATCTTCCGTGAACGGACCTTGGGGAATTAATTACACTATTTTCTGAGACTCGATTTTGTTTTCATCTACTAAATGGGGATGTTGGTCCGGATGAGCTATATATCCCTTCGAGCCCTGAAATCCCACAATTCTTTACTGAAAAATACGGGGACACTGGAGTAATGATGTACCTGCTACCTTACGTAGACTGGACACATACATGCTGCTGGGCAGAAACATTCACTTCTTAAGCTCAGCTTGTTGTCAGAGTAGAATCTTTCACCTACACAACGATTAATTCAGAATTGCAATTAGTTTTTTCAGGAAATTGGTCTTCGGGCCTCAGTTGTAAAACGGATCCCCTCTCTGGAGAAGTATCTCAACCAGGATACGAACGCTGCATTAGGCAAATGGTGCAGAAGAACCTTCCATTGCCTCTGACTAGGAAGGAAGGCGGCGTGGTACAGTGTGAAGATAACGAAATCAGGCAGTCTGGGCTTCATTCCCGACTTCTCTCTATTACTCCCTCCAGGGTTTAAATGTCTTAATCATAAAATGAAGAAGCTAGACTGGAAGATGAAGTATCCATTCCGGGGCTTAAAAAAAAAAATCTATTCTTTTAATCTATGATTTTACTCAGCAGGGTGCCAATGTTGTCAGTCATGATCACTTTTTAAAAATCTCGCTTTTCTCGTTCAAGATGTAGCTTATGCCCTTAAAAAAACAATACAGGGAGAGTCATATTCTATGAGAGAAAGTGGTCATACTTCCCTTTAGTCAGCAATGACAGAGCATCTTCTTGTTCCCGGGGCCTGAGGATCCATGAAGACGGCATCCTTGATTACAAAGAGCTCCAGGACTAATAAGGAGCTCATAATTAAGGAACCAAGCAACAACACAATGCCCCACACTGCAGGGTGACTCACCCGGGGAGTGGTTTCTTGCTCTGCTTTGCAGAAGAGGTTCGGCAGCTGAACATTCTAGATCAGTGATGCTCAGGTTTTCTTTTGTTGCTGTTACTATCGTTTGGCTCCAGGTTGAGTATGTATACAACCCGCTCCCGTCAGTAACATCTTGCACTATACTCAGAGATTTTCTTGAGGGGGTAGCAGTAGGTTGAAAACAACCCCTTCAATGCACCTTTCTACCATCAAATTAAAATTCACGGTCTTAGATTAACTGTGCGTTTTTAAATGCAAACTTTCCACAGTTCGCATCTCTGTCTCCTAAAAACCTGTATGTCACAGGTGTTGCATCCGATTCAAATCAAGACGTGTGTATCAGGTTCACAAGATTTTTGTACTTTTTTTGTTAAAGGGTAAACTACTGGAGCAAACTACTAACAAGTAATAGCTCCACACTGAACTAAATCATGCCTTGGTCTCATTAAAAAAAAAAAAAAAAAGTTCAAAATGAGCAGCTTTTGTTCTAGATCATAATAACAAGAAGTTACCCAAGCAGGAGCTCCAAATGCAATTTCTAGCTATTCCCAGATATCTCCATCTGGATGAACATCTCAGCACTTATATCCAGCAGGTCTAAACCCACGTTCTATCTTCTTGATCACAATGACGCCTCTTCTATTCTCTTTCTGGAAACATCCCTGTTCCCCTTCCCATCAGCTCCCTCTTTTCCTGCATCTAATCTGTCTTCAACCTGTGGATACTTCTGGTCCGTAACGTCTCTCGTTATTTCTGCCACTCTCTTCATCTTTCACCTAGTCTCTCTCCCGGCCAATATTTTTTTCATAACCCCCAACCTTCTGTTTGTTACTTCTAAATTAATCATTCAAACTATAGAGCTGATTATTTTGCTCCCTTGTACAAAACCTTTTGGTGGCTTTACTCTGACCAGAAAATAAAGTCCCAACTCTTTAAAATGTCACTGAAGCTCATGTCATATTCTGAGACCCCCAGCCTCATCTTATTTCTCACGACCCCTCATCAGCGCAGCCGATGCTGAAGGCCACCTCCCTATTTCCAGTCTCTGTTTCTGCTGCTCTCCAATCCCAGTGATGAGCGGCAAATTTAATCTACCTTGCAAGGCCAAGATCACTTCTACTGACTCCAGAAATACCCACTTCTAAGCCTAATATCCCTATTACTCTGCTCTCTGAAATACGTACATTAAAAAAAAAATCATAAAATTTGTATTTTTATACTGTTCCAACCATAAGTCTGTTACCCTTGTTTTAATTTGTCGGGTTCTCTTATCCTACTCTTGTCTTGTATCCTGTACTCTTGCCACGAAACTAGGAGTTAGCTGATGGCATAAACGATTCCTGAGAATGTGAGCTTTTACAGTGTCTTGTGCTCAGAAGCATCCTAATAGCTTTTTATTGCTAAACCAATCAAAACAGAAAAAAAGTGTGAGTGAATGGCCTACTGTTTCTGTAATAATCAGAATCATTTTCCACTCTAACTGGTGAGTGAAATCTTGAGCTCCCTCTTACCTACCAGTAAAATACACAGGAAGGGTGTAAGTGAGGCAGTTCAGAGGTGAGGGCTTTTGAAGAATCCTGGCTCTCCCTCTAACCAGTAGCATGGCCTTGGTCCTTGAATCAAACAATCCAGTAGACTAAGTCGAAACCAAACTCTTTCTCCTGATTTTACATGGGATTTTAAAAAAATGTCTGAAATTACACCCACATTTGTTAAAAAACTCCAAGTATGATTGTTATAAGAAGTCTCAGGGCACCTGGGTGGCTCAGTCAGTTAAGCATCTGACTTCAGATGGGGTCATGATCTCGGGGGGCCTGGGACGGAATTGCGCGGAAAGTCCACGTTTCCCTCCCCTGGCTTGTGCATTCTCTTACCCTCTTTCTCTCTCAAATAAATCTTAAACAACAACAACAACAAGAAGGAAGTCTCATATATGGTTAACTGTAAATACTACCGGACAGGAAAAAAGTCAGTTCATATTGGTAGCTGATCGTCTCCTGCAATGGTATCCCTCAGTCTCGAGCCATTCTGTTGAAATCTACTCAGCCAATAGCACACAATTTTGTCATCATCAAATTACAGCTGTGTAGTGGCCCCAGCTGCTACCAGACACACCTTAAAACCTTTCGAAGCAGCAATATGGGCAGCGGTCCAGCCTTCTCTGTCAGCGTGGTTAACGAGGTCTGCAGGAACCACAGGCTTGGGTGTGCCGTCAGGACTCTCTTCTCCTTCATTCAAGCCAAAGACACCGGACTCGGGTTCTTCCTCATGCAAAGAGTTCCCGCTAGCTCGTGTTCTATGGTACATGAGAAGCTTGAGGCTGTCCACGTTACCAGCGTCCACAGCTGCGTGAACCGGTGTCCAGCCATCCTGAAGATAAAATGACCAGGAGGAAAGGGTTGATTACAACATTAATGTTGAGAACAGTGTTATTTAAAGTTCACCTCTAAACGTTCTTGGGCATGAACCACTGAGCTCGGAAAAGCAGGCATTCCAATCCTGAATATCACTGATGAGCTGAGTCAAGTTCTCTGACCTCTGCCAATTACCATATTTCCCATTGCTGTGACTCATGTTTGCTGTTTTGTAGGAATTTCCACTCAACAGTCAACCACTTGGGAGTTTAACAATACAAAAGAGAATGAACGTTAGCATACAGATTTTTCAAAATTTACGTCCAATTACAGTATTACTAGTAATGTACTAAATGAATGCTACTATAAGCTAGTTTTGCTTATAGGGCAGAGTCTTAACTGGTGATCTTAAAATTTTGTGCCAATGATTCCCAAAGAAAAAAAATTAAATAAAAGGGAAAAGGTAGACATACAGGAAAAGCAAGGCCAAATAACTTCGTGAGATGTCTGTGGGCCATTATTGAGGGTTCTGTGTAAGCTTAGAAAATGTCCCAACTAAAATTATTAGGCCCATTCTCTAGAATATATTCCTGTGAGGCCTTCCTCATTCACTTAACTGGCTGCTAGAGTAAACTCAGTGGTTCTCAGGTGTGGTCACCAGGCCAGCAGCCGCAGCGTCACCTGGGAACTCGTTAGAAATGAAGGTCGTTGAGCCTCCACTCAGACCTACTGAATGAGAAACTCTGGAGGGAGACCCAGCAATCTGTGCTTTAACCAGCCTTCTGGGTGATTCGGACACAACCGAAGTCTGACAAGCACTTTTCCAGGGAAAATCTTGGTCCCCCTTTCCATCTCTCAAGGGTCTTCCTTCCACGCAGGCACCAGTCTTTACTACATTTTTAATACTTTCATAAAAGAACAGAATTATTTTGGTGATTTGTGATTTTGACTTGTTGCCCTCACCTTTATTTTCTTTTTGGCCTATTTTTTTCATGTGGTATTTCATATTGCTCTATTAAATATCTCTCAGTGAGCTAGAGAACACTTTTTTTTTTTTAACAATAGGGTAGAGGATAAGGAGAAAGACAGTAAGTGGTAACAATGTACACTTAGTGAGTTATCTGATTATTTGCTAAAGCCATCTCTTGAGGAGGATTTTTCTCTGGTTCTATACTTCATTCCAATGAAGTCAACTTGGCTAAGACAAGGCTGTGGCTGGGCGGTAAATGGAATACCTTATAGTCCTTGGGAATACTCCAGCTAGTAAAGCATTTCATGGCTTACTCTTCGTTGGGCTGTGGATGCCCTTACTTGGGCAAGCCTTACTTTGGCACAGAGTGTAAGCGCTCCTGACCTTCCCTAGTCAAATCTCTTACTTGTTTCCTAATTCTTATGTTACAAGGACGATCTAATCATTTCTGAAGAACTTTCAATTTCCCATTCCCCCTTTGATTTCTTATTAAAAGACCTAAGAAATAATTATTCCCTTAAGTTTCTCTATCAATTATACTGTTTATCTCTGTACTTGAGAGACTCTCTACTCCTCATGATTTTGTTCAGTCCATCAACAGGTAGCTTGAGAGCATGGACTTCTGTGTTCTCTAACTTACAAGATGTGACTTAAATTTTTATTCTTATGCTGCACTACTTATTTTTTTTTTATTCAGTTTGGATTATGTAAAATCTACTCATTTTTCACATATAAGGTAGAATTTTATATTAAATATGTGTAATACCACAGATTTCTTAGATCAACTATATAAAATAATATGAATAAATGGTACCACTGGGCTATTTTCTCAGGTTTTCAAAAAATTGAGTAAAAAGCTTTTTCTTTTTTTGTTTTTTTATTTAAAAAAAAAAAAAAGCTCTAGCAATAGAACTCAATGGAAAATATTTACCCTGGCTTATATCCCTGGTTATAACAGGGATTGTTAATTGTTGGTTCTCTTTTGGTAAATTATTTAAGAAAACTCAGGATCTGGTGCAGCCACTATGGCAAATAGCATGGAGGTTCCTCAAAAAGTTAAAAATAAAACTAACTTATGACCCAGCAGTCACATTACTGGATATTTGCCCAAAGAATACAAAAACACGAATTCAAAGGGATACATGTACCCCTATGTTTGTTGTTGCAGCATTATTCACAATAGCCAAGATATGGAAGCTGCCCAAGTATCCACTGATTGATGAACGGATAAAGAAGAGGTGAGATATATATTATATAGATGTGTGTGTGTCAGAAATAATATATATTAATATATATATCTTATGGAATATTATTCAGCCGTAAAAAAAATGAAATCTTGCCATTTGCAACAACACAGAGTTTGAGAGTATAATGCTTAGTGAGTCAGAGAGAGAGAAATTCCATATGATTTCACTCATATGTGGACTTGAAGAAACAAAACAAATAAGCAAAGGGTGAAAAAAAGAGAGAAAGACAAATCAAGAAAGGATCTTAATAAAAGAGAACAAACTGCTGGTTACCAGAGGGGAAGTAGGGGAATGAGGGGGAGATGGGTTAAATAGTTAATGGTGATTAGGGAATGCACTTGTCACGAAAAACAGACAAACAAAAGAAAACATAAAAACAACTAACCACCTACGATCTAAGGGTGACCTGTAACATAGATACTGTTCCTTCTTATCCTGGGAAATCTTAAGGATGTTTCCTATGACAGGAATGCACAGCACAGCCAATTTTCTATCAGAAGAAATCCAAAATTCAGATAACCTTTGGAAATTAAGTATTTACCCTCATCTTCCATTAGGAATCTATGATAGGGGTGGTGACTTACACAGTCCACATGCTGGGAAGCTGCAAAAACAAAAATAAAGTGATTCCTGAGCACAATGAAGCGCAGATCACGATGGAAGCTCCTCAACTCCTCCAGCGCAGAGAGGGTGCCACCAGAAAAATGCCTGTCGGTGAACACAGGGCTGATTCCTCAGTCTCGGCGGGCTGATGGAGATTTGGGAGGCTAACACAAGTTTTGTTTCAAATGCACTTCTGTGTGGCTGAGCCAGAAGTGTTATCCAAGGACTCTTCCCACGCATCCAACTCTCAATGTCTTCAGTTTCTAAACTGCTGACTATCTGTGCACCTTGCATGGGAGACATCAGAACTGTGTGGGATGGAGTCAAGAGCGACACGGCGGGCATAGCGGATTTCTGCAGATAGCGCTTCCTGAATGACCCTGACCTCTGTGAGGCGCTACACATCTCAGCAATAACAGACCATCAGTCACAGGAGTAAGGGCGAGCACAAACAACCCTCCTCTCTCAGGCTGGCAACGGGCACTATCTTGTCACAAAACTCCCTTTTGTGTACGTGTTTACATGTGTTACAACAGAGTCCCGTGTTCTAACCGGGGATGGTGGTGACCATGGTGACAGCTAACATCTGTTCATTGCTTACAATTCCCAGGCTTACTATACCAAACTACCTTACGTAGATAACCTCATTTCACTTTAATTCCCCTAACAATGGCTACTGTTATTAGACTCATTCCGTAGAGGGGTCAACCAGGGCACAGAGAAGTAAGACCACTTGCCTAAGCTCATGAAGGCATGGCTTGAGCCCCAAAGGCTTGATATATCAGAGCCTGATCTCGCAGCCATTCTGCAAATAATCTTGTATCATCATTACTGCCACTATGGCAGCAGGTGATACTTCTGCAGCTCTTTGTAAAATGTACATTTTGAAAACATATCCAGAATCGGGCCATTTCCCACCATTTCTACACCTCAACCTTAATACAAACCACCATTACTTCTTCCCTGACTTAAAACAACAGGTTCCTACACGTCTCCCTTGCAGCTTCTCTGCCCCACCTAAGGTGATTCTCAAACCTGCAGCCAAAGTGACTCTTTATCAAAGGGAGTCAGTTCATGCCCTTGTTCCCTTCAAAACTGTCCATCCAGAGGCCTTATTCCAAATGCTCACCAAGGCCCGCAAGGCCTTTTGTGGCGAGCCACTGGCCACCTGGCCTAACTGAAGTGCACCTGCGGGTACCCCCACTGTCCCACCTCCAGCCTGGCACACTGCTCCCCAGGTCTCTCCATGGCCCGCATTCTTGCTTCTTTCAGGTTTTGGCTCAACTGTCACACTTTCAGTAAAGACTTCTCCCACCAACTCCTCGGAAGTCACCCACCACCCCAGGCACTCCGATCTTCTAAACACCCAGCACCTATCCATCTACTCACTTGTTGATTGTCATCCCTTCTGTCCCACGAGGATATAAGGCATAGGAGGGCAGGACTAGCTTATTTGCTGCTGTCCCTTCTGTCCCTAGGACAGCGGGTACTCAGGAAATAATTGTCGAATGATTAAAAACTTAGACTTCCATGATCTCCCCTGATCCTGAAAACAGCTAGGACACAGGTATTCATTTTCCCATTTTGCAGATGAATAATTTGAGGTTCAGAGGATAAAGCACTGATTAGACGAATAGACAAGGCTTCTCATTAGCAGACACCCAAACACAAGTCAGAGGTCAGACACCGTCCATGTTTTATATACAAAAAGCAAAGCAAAACAAAGCAACCTCTATCTTAATATATTTTGATTTTCTGGCTATAGAGTTGGCAGATAGGGTAAATTTTAAGACAAACCCCCGCCCAAAACTGGTACTCACTCTGGTTTCCACACTTCGGTCAGTTCCGGCTTCCAGTAGGTATTTAATACACTCCTTATTTCCATTTTTACAGGCCAGGTATAGAGGTGTCTGTCCTTCATCAGCAGCATGATTAATGTTGGCATCATATGCAATTAATAATTCTACACACCTAAACATAAGATTATGATTGATCACAATAAAACCGGTTTGCGTTCTGAAGCACCTGACCCAGATACTATAATGCTAGAGGAGGTCTGTATCTTTCTACATCAATTGTTTTTACATATACCAATTACAGTAGGTCTTAAAATATGGATACCATTTTGTAGCAAGGATGGAAGATATATTTTCAATCACAAATTTAATTACTCCCATGAAAATTTAAAATGGCGGCACTGATCTGTTGCTAAAACTTGGTTTTGACACTTTTCTGTAGCCAACTTGTGAAAAGTGGAGTCCTTGTAACATGTTTAATTGGGATGAATGGCTGAACTGTGGTTGACATATATACATTATTTGTGGTTCAAAATAGTTTAAACCTTGAGAAAAGTCATACTGCTGAGTCATTTTGAGACTTTCACTTGAGAAAATAATTATAAATAGCTCAGACAGCAGGGCACCATGTGCCTCCACTATAAAAGGCAGCAGGGAGGCAGAGCTAGGGGCTGCCTTGGGGAGAACAGCAGAGGCTAGCCTGTCTCCTGAAGGGGGGCTAGTTACAAGGAAAAAGACAGCTAAGCAGAAACTCTGCTCTGAGAATCAGGGAGGAAAGAAATGAGGTAAATTTGAGACGTTGTGACATTTGTGCCAAGTCTTTATGAAGTCAGATAAGAATAAGTGGAGAAAAGTGGACTAAATCATAATCAAATGAAGAAGCAATTTACATCACCTTTTTTTTTTTTTTGCTTCAGATATATGCTTTCTCCCCCCACCCCCCACCCTGGGGCTTTTCTTGAAAACAATTGGTTTATATATATTTTTATTTTTTTATTTATTTTTATATATATATATTTTTAAAAATAAGTTACATATTGACACGTGTTTATATCTCATACACATTTAAACTGATCAACCCCAGGGTTCTTCCTTTTGGCAAAGCTACTCATGCCTGGATTCCTAGGACTCTTATACCTTCCAAGTAAGTGGCACTACAGACTGCGGGGTGACAGTAAATGTAAAAGCACAGCTTAAGAAGAAATCCCTTCTGGAGGACTCAGGATACATGCACCAAGTAACAGCAAAACCAGTATCTGTGGTTCTCAACAATAAGCTCATGAAGTATACATCAGACATGCAGAAAAAAGAATGTATACTTTAAAGATGCATTTTGAATATTTAAAACTTACATTTATGATTAATAACCTTAATGTGAAACTTAGAACCCATATTATAGGAATTACGAAATATGTTAAGGATATTTCTATCAGTTTGAAACAGTCCGCATTTATTCCTTCTCGGCCTTTTGGCTAAGATCAAGTGAAACAGTCCACGTTCCCTACAGGATCTTTCAGAACAGGCAGAGGAAGCAGCTTAGTGACTTTCTATTTTATTAAATTGTAACTCTTAATTTTAAAAACCCATGTCTATGTTCAACAGACTTGGTAGGCTCCTGAAGAAATCACTGCTAAACTGACATGTTTCAGTTGGTAGGTTCTTTTGGGTTTGTGCTCTAAGCACCTTCAGTATGAGATGTTTCTGCTTTAATTTTTTAAAAATGATATGACAAGGTGAATATATTGGGATTTAATATTGAATAAAATGCCACTAGGAAGTTAAAATTCTTGTAATTAATATAATTCTAGGATTTATTTTTAATGCCATCATAAGTAAAAAAGCTTTTTGTGTGTGGGGGGGGGAGGGTAGAAAACAGTGAATGACAGTCTCTAACAGTGGACGTGTCACCCCACAGCTGTTGATAGACTATAAATTGATTATCTTCATCAGAAGCAAATTCATTCATGTGAGGTTGACACACGTTTCTCTTCTTTATTTCCCTCATACACAACTATTCACCCTTAAAGAAGAAGAGAGAATTTAGGATCCTACTTTGCATCTGAATCTTCAAATATATTTAGTGAATTTATTTGCCAATGGATTTTAAGCACTAGCGTTTACACATTCAGCCAGAACTGAAATATGTGTGCAAATTATAGACTCTTTTTATAGTGGGGGGAGAAAGAAGAATTCAGAGCATCACTTACTTGAAATGTCCCTGAGCAGCTGCAGCACACAAGGGTGTGAAGCCATTTTTATCAGCAGCATTGACTTGGGCTTCTGCATTCAGCAGCAATCTCACACAGTCTACGGATTTTAATAGAAAGCCATTTAAATTCCCCATTTAGAGTTACGGGGAGCCAAGTTCTAAACAAGCTCTATGTAAATGTTAAACCCAAAGGACCTCTCCCGTGCACAGTCCACCTGACAATTTTAGTATGGTGGATAGGAGACTCCACAGGCTATTTTACAGAGAAAGGAGACTCTTTTCCTGAAGATGTAAATGCCCCAGACTCACCAACTAAGACGTGTGTGTGTGTGTGTGGGGGGGGGGGGGGGGCTTCGGGAAGAGTTGCTAATGAGTGAAAGGATTATTAGTCGTCAGAAAACATTTCACCAGATTTTCCCATCACTCTATCCCAGGAAAATAATGTAATTGGATGGAGAACTAAATCTACTTACCAAATTGAAGTACCATTCTTTGTATTTCAATAGTTAAATTCTCACTTTGTGATAATTAACCTTTAAAACGCTTCCATGTAATGGTCATCACACACTTGATTCCATGGGTGAGGTGAAACCATACAAAGTCACCTGACTCTGGCATAAATATCATCTAGGCCTTGTGTTCCTCATGGTATTTACTAGCTTTAATTTCTTTACATGAAGGAAAATTCCCAAAGGACTTTTGAAGTAAAGAAGAATCCCAAAGTATTTTTAAAATCACGAGCTATCTTCTTAGCTCACTAGATCCTTCCATTTAGTCCACTTGAACACAGTGAAGATCTGACGCTTCTCTGAATTACTCTACAATCATGCAGCTTATGTGCACCATGCTATCTGATTTCGGATTTGCAGTCAAATCTTTTTCTGCACTACGATGTTTTAGTAAATCTGACCACAAGACTTCGCATTTTAAGAAAGAAGAATAATTCTGACTTCATCAATATGTCGCTTATAGCTGTACAACTTCTCAGTTCTCTTAAAAAAAATCCAAATAACTATAAATGGTTCCGACGATAGAACCGTTTCAGACCCGTGCCCTCTAACTGCTAGATCTTGCCCTCACCGTAGCATGTGTTGAACCCTTGTCACTTCGACTTTCATACACAGGTATTGCTAATAGACAAATTAGAGCTATTTTGTCCTAACTCAAGTGATCACAGACGGAAGGCTTTATTCTAAAATGTGCTTAGTGCTAGACCTCCAATTTCAACATACACAATCTATTTCATCGTGCATAAGACTAAAAATACTTTTTGCTAGCTGCAATAAAATCTAACTTTAAAAAAGTTTATTTATTTATTTATTTGAGAGAGAGAGAGAGAGAGTGAGAGTGAGCATGTATGGTGGAGGAGGAATAGAGGAAGGATGAGAGAGAGAGAACCTGGAGCAGACTCCCCACTGAGTGCAGAGCCCAACACAGCTCGATCTCTCTACCCTGAGATCATGACCTGAGCCGAAATCAAGAGTCGGTCGCTCAACTGACTAAGCACCCGTAGGCGCCCCTAAAATCTCACATTTTTACGGAACTACAATTTCCAAATTTTTTCAATATTTGCAAAATCTTTAAATCACATAAGAAAAAATGTGTCCACTACTACCTGTAGAAGAAAATCAAAGCCAGAAGAACCTTTTGCTCCCAACAGTGGTTACCAGTGCTTTTGGCTCTCCATCCTTTTGCAAGAGGGTGGTACAGTGAGGTAAGATCATGCCATCTTTACCTGTATGTCCATTCTTAGCAGCAGAATACAAGGCAGAATGGCCATCTTCACAGGAGTAATTTATGTCCAGTCCTTCTTCATTAAGCAGCATTGATAATAAAGTGACATTTCCCTGGGCAGCAGCTTGCTGAAGAAGGGTGGGCCTGCCAGCCAGGGGGGCAGGACCACCACTCATTAGCAAAGGGGTTAGGGAGGGTGACCAGCCTGTGGGTTAAAGTGACCCTAGTTAGAGTAGGAGCAAGGACAAGAGACGGATATTACCCACTTAATTCTGAATTACACACACACACACACACACACACACAGATGTATGAATACATATCCTTAGAGGATTATGCAGTTTCTAACATTATCAATCTGTTAATATTTACTTAGCACAAATCTGTACTGTTATTTCAGTCTCATACCTGCTAATTAAATTAACATACACAGTGACACGATTTTTAGTTGTCAGTCTTACACAGATAAATGTTAAAGTGGTGGTTGGTTTTAGGAAACTAAGGTGGCTGTCTCATTTTAAGATTTCAAATTCCACTGTAGGATTTCAAAACAATTTGAATTTTAAAATTATATATGGATTCCCGCAATTTCAGTATCAATCTGAAAAAAGTGAACTGAGATCTCTAGGTATAGGATGGAAAGAATTGTAAGAAATGGAGATTTTCCTTCTTCAATAAAGTTTCCAAAGGCATGTAACTAAAAATTTTACACAATTAGGATGGACCAAATATTGCCAAGAAATCTATTTATATTCCTTGAATTCCCTTAGTTGGGGATAAAAATAACAGAGGGAGCCAAGTGCTATTCAGTATCAAGAGCTAACAGAAGCGCAACGTATATAATTGAGTCTAGAATACTGTATTCCAGCCCAAATATGCAATATGCGATTCTGCACACTTTATCGTCTGGACATCTTTATAACTTGTGTACCAGAAACTTTTAACCAGCCAACGAAACAGGACACTCTACCATATAGTTTTAACAAGAATCATAAGAGTTATCATAGTTAGATATTTCTCTCATCAGTATTTAGCAGCTTTAGAAGAGAATCTGTTAAGTGTGTGAAGTCGGCTGCATATAGCATGGAAAATTTTCTGAATTCTTCCTTGGTCAAAAGGCTGTAAAAACAGTAAAGTAAAAAAATGTTTATTTAATGTGTCATATAGGTATTTTATGTGTTTTAGATATAATTAACTTTCAAAAGAAGTCATTTTACTTTCTTCCTTATGAAGCCCCAAATACCTCAGGGTAATGTCAGCGTATATAGAGGGGCCCATGTGCACACAGCCACTCCTCAGGGTAAACACTCTACGTAAATCCAGTAACATTCTCTGTGAGGAGGGCACAATAGATGGATCTTTTATTAGGTTTCCTCTACCTTGGTATTAGGATAATATTTTAGGTATATGGGTTTTACATTAATAAGTAATAAATTTGCATAACTGAGACTTAAGTTATTTTAATCAATATTGAAATCAAAGATTTCCTGGTATTTTAAAAATTCCTTGCAAAAATAGTTTATACAAAGAAAACTCGACTGTCCATTTGAAGCTGGATATTACATCTTCATAATTAATTATTTGGGTCCATGAATAATTTATTGTTTTTGACCCTGTTAGACTGCAGTGACAATTAAATTCAAATACTCATTAAATATTCATCTAAACTTTATGGTATCGTTCCCATCGATATTCACTAGCTCTTCTTACAAAAGTAGTATTTTTACTTCATACTTACAAGAAGGCTCCTCTCTGGTACATTTTACCTTTTGTATTTTCTTAAAAACAAACAAAAAAACAAGCCCACAAAAATTAAATCAGTACTTATTAGAAATGGATGATAAACAGAGAAATTATAAACACCAAGGTATGAGAGCTTGACTGCAAAGCAAACACAAAGGTAACATGAAGGCATTGCACGGTGGTCCTCCGTGGAACAGAAGGGAGTGTGGCTCACAAGGCAGTGAGTCCTCTCCTTGAGCTCCAGAGGCGGTCTCTCCCCGCCCCTCCCTCCTTCCCTCCCTCCTTCCCCCCCTTCCTCTCTCTCTCTCTGTCCTCTCACTGTCCTCTCACTGTCCTTCCCTCTACCCCCACCTCCTCTAGCTCGTCCAAAGAGTCCTGGTTATTGACAGCCTCTAAAGAACATCAACAGGTATAAATAAATCAAATGGTTTGCTTTTCTTTTGGGCTTTGTTTTCATTCTTCCTTTTTCAATGCGCTTCTAGGCTTTGGGGGACAATTTAAATAGATACATTTTTAACTGCCTTCTATGGAAACTTGGGATACAGCATCCTGGGAAACCCTCTTTTTAATGCTAAGCTATCTGAAAGAGAAAATATTCATTCAAAAATTTTCTCAATCTTTCCACTACTCAAGACTCTGTTTCCTGTCATACAAAACAACAGAAGAATATAGATTAATTTTTTTTAAAACTCTCTAAGAGACGGGCAACAGATTTTTGAAATCTTTGACAAAAGAACAATGCTTTATAAATACCCATATTCTTAAAGTTTAAATACATTTTTTTTATCCCCATATCGTTTCCAATTGCTTGAGCTATTTTAATAAAATAAAGACTTTATGGTTCATTTGAAAATTCCCAACAATGATGAAAATGGTGATATTTATTGACGGGTTAGGTGATGCTAGAACAGGCCTGCATCATACAGCTACTTTAATGATGTTAGAAAAAGGTCACTCGGCTTTGTGGTGTCATGTGCAAACATTAGTAAAGGTGAGCATCTTGCAGAACATGCGCTGGGCGACTAAGGAAACAGGCAGGACATGCGATGCAAGAGGGAAGAAAAGTTGAGAACAGCTTCTGGCATCAGCTTCAGAGTGTGGAGAAGGTTAATGTCATAGCTCAGGTCAATCTCATTTTCAGATTTCAAATTTAAGCCAATCATACATGGAGGATATATTTTTTTTAAATATGTTTTAAGGCAAAAAATGTCTGAATCAAATTAAATAAGATGTACGAACCCACCCGTTGCACCCCCCCCCCCAAAAAAAAAATTCCCCAAACGAAACAAACCAGAAACAAATTTCCAAGGGTATGAAAACTCAGTTGCCTGTGGGTGATTTCTGGTTTAGGCTTCTGTTCATCTAACAGTTAAAATGTGTTCACCGGACAAGTTCGGGGGAACAAAAAAAAATTCTAATTCATTTAGAATTTAAGATGCTATTTAAAATGTAACATTTGGCCATCCCAACTGCTAATAGAGTAATTTACAACCTAATTCATGAGAACGGGATCTTCTACCGTTGCAGTTCTCCTCAGGGGTGCTTTAGCTTACTCATTGTTTCAGATCCAAGCTGATACAGAAACTCAGAATTTTAAGAGTTTTTAAAAAGATGTGGGATCCAGTGGTTCTCCGAGAAGGGAGAGGTAACATACTGCTGTTTGAAAAATTCAACAGGCAAGTTTAAGAAATCTTTCTGGTCTGGAACTATTATTATTATTATATATTTTTTTTTTTTGGTTCGATGATTTCATTTTTGGATGAAAAAAACTAATGGCTCAGAGCAAATGTGCTCTTTAGGGTGATCTGAGAAAGAGGCAGAAATGGACTAACCCTGCCTTCTCAGACTCTCCAGAGCTCTTTTCCTCAATGAATTGGGAACAGACATCTATCTGCCAACGATTTGGCAGACGTGCTCTGTCCTCATGCCCGGCTCGTACCAACCACATGGCAGGAGCAGCTATTTAGAAGATTGATAACCTCCAATGAGCTTATGATCTAGGGAGGCACAAGCTCACCCAGGCACAGAGAGATTCAGAAGTAGGATGAAGGGGCACCTGGGTGGCTCAGTGGTTGAGCGTTTGCCTTTGGCTCAGGGGGGGTGACCCCGGGGTCCTGGGATCGAGTCCCACATCGGGCTACCCATAGGGAGCCTGCTTCTCCCCCTGCCTGTGTCTCTGCCCCTCTCTCTGTCTCTCATGAATGAATAAATAAAATTAAAAAAAAATAGGATTGAAAGAGCTCTGGTGCTTCCTGGTTGCAAGGAGCATGGCAGCAAAAATAGGGGCAACCTGAATGAAAACCAGTTGAAATCCTGTATCTCATTTGGAAAATTTAGGCTGACCTACCTACACCCATGGTTGATTTATCACCCTTCCTGTGTAACCATAACAACTTTTTTATTCCCCAGACAAGATGGTCAGGAAAAGCTTGCTGCATGACTACTCCTCCTTATAATCAAGCAGCATGGAAATTTATCATCCCACCAAGGTAATCCTGGAATTCTGGATTATTTTGGCCAAACTGCAAAATCAGAGAACAGAAAATGAGGAACCGGTTTCACCTATCTTTGGTGGCTGCTACTTCTTCGGTTCCATTATTCATTCTCTTTTGCTCTCTGGACACAAGCCAAGGGCTTTATCCCCAGGGATTATTGCTCCTGTATCCGAAATTCCACTCTATCCCAGACAGGTCATTCTGGTGAGTACATTATAGACTAGGATTTCTCTGGTCTTAAAAATTTCAGATCCTGCTGAAATGTTCCTCGGTAATAGATGCTGATTTTAAAGCTTTTTCCACTGAAACCAAGACACTGAAGCTGAACCTGGGGCACAGTAAGGACCGAGGCAATAACTGGTAAAGCATCAAGGTACAAAACAAAGATGGTTTTGTAGTTTTTAAAAACTGACAGAAGTTATATATCCCAGGAAGTGTTTTCTATTTTAGTTTGTGCATTTACATCAACAGCAATGCCACGGCCCCAAACATTTTTGGAACTTGTGCTTTGAGGCTGCCTTAAGAGCTTCTGGAACATTCTTGGATTCTCCTGAATGGTAGCAAAAATTCCTCCTTTGAGCATGGATTTAGCTCTGGACAATAGCTAACATCCTTTTAGGCCATGGGAAGGGCTGTCCAGCTCAGTAATACCATTTTGAATAAAAAATATGGAATGCCGAACGCCTGTGAAGCTAGCACAAAGTAATAATAGCATAGGTCAACTTTAAAGCAAATTCTCCAAGATTTTTTAAGCAACAATATCGATGAAGCAATAACATCACCTCTATTTATTCATCACTCATGCTGCTCTAAGTGCAATACCAAGCTCTTTGCACGTGAGGAGAGTTAATCCTAATAGCCACCCTGCCCCATATGAGTAGCATAAGCTCCATATTAAGGATGAGAAAGCTTGCTCAGTCCAAGAAAATCACCAAAATGCACAGCCATAAATTGCGGATCCTAGATTCTAGTGCAGCTCTGACTGCCATCAAAGTCCGTGCCGTCTCCAGTTCCCAATTACGCACCAACACAGGAACAGCAGCCTCTCAGGGAGCATAATTTCATGGAGACTGCTTGTAATTAGGTAAGTAAGGCCTGGAATATTGCTCTCATTCCCTGACAATCAGCAAGAACTGTGCTACCTATGTTTCTCATTCCCATTCCCCACACCCTGAGTTTTAAATATAACACCACTCAAACTTTCCTTTAATTCTTAAAGTTCTCTCTCATTCGGACCAGCGGTCTCTGGTAGCCACTAAGATCCCATGATAAGAGACTTCCGTCAAGTTTCAACAGAACTTCGACATTCTAGCATTATTTTAGAGCCACCTTTACTCAGTGAAGAACTAATCCAGTCATGTCGAGCATTGCTTCCCCTACACTGCGTAACAAAAAGGAGAAAAGTCCAGTTTTTTTGTTTTTTTATCAACTCCCTTGTTTAAGAGTCCCCCATTCGGGGACTTCATAAATCACATCTGCCATGAGGACCTCTTCTAATAGAGCCCACATGCCAGGTTATCCATCTGTGCTCAAGTGTTGGAAGACAACAGCCTGGAACAGAATAAACGGCTTTTGAAACAAACTAAGAACAGAGACTTAAAATACACATGCTCTGTTTTTGAGGTCAAAAAGAATGCCATACCAATATTAAAACTTGGAACATACCAATGACAGAGCAAATAGAATCAACCTGATAATCCCAGGCAGACTGTCGTGTCAATGGCCACTTGAAAAGATTTTTTTAACTTTATTTCAGAAGGGACAGAATTGAACGCAGATTGTCTGGTGATGACCCCCCCCCCCAACACTGAAGGCCTGTGAGATAAATATTTAAAAAGTCTTTCTTGGGATCCCTGAGTGGCGCAGCGGTTTGGCGCCTGCCTTTGGCTCAGGGCGTGATCCTGGAGACCCGGGATCGAATCCCATATCGGGCTCCCGGTGCATGGAGCCTGCTTCTCCCTCTGCCTGTGTCTCTGCCTCTCTCTCTCTCTCTCTGTGTGACTATCATAAATAAATAAATTAAAAAAAAAAAAAGTCTTTCTTCCCATGGAAATGCTTCAGTGTCTCTAAATCAATGGTCTCCATGTGCTCCCAAACTGCTACTTTCAGGTTATTTTAAGAAAGTACTTAGCATAAAGAAACCACAATTCATAAAGCAAGATGAATCACCATACCCCGGAGCCTTTAAAGAAAAATACAAAAAAAAAAAAAAAAAAAAGAAAAGAAAAGAAAAAGGAAAAGAAAAGGAAAAAAAAGAGGGGGAAAGAAATAGGAAAATAAAAAAAAGTGTCAAGCTAAAAAAAAAAAAGTTTCAAGGCAATGTGAAGGAAATGAAGGCAAGTGAAAAGGCAGGCGGCATTTTTAAGGAAGGGTATATAATATTTCAATCCCTTTACCTGATGCTGTTACCAGGAGGCTGTCTGAGGCACCTGCTCTACAGGATGAGGCACTAACAGGGTTTATGGAAGAGCAAAAGGCAATGGTGGTGGGAATGACAGGGGGACGCTCTGAACATGCAGGTTGGTTCGGTCCAGGGGTTTCAGCAGGCCGGGCACCCACCTGAGACGTGGCCAGGGCCGCAACGGCACAGCCTGCCGGTGCCACAGTTAAATCTATGGACGGTTTTGGTGGCAGCTGAGGGGAAGATGACTTAGGGAGCGTCTCCTCACTTATTACCCTGTTCCCTTGTGGCCCACTGGAAGGAGGCGAAGCCAGAGTTTTGTTATCAACTTTGGCCCCTGCGCTGGGGGCCCTGCTATCCAGGAGGACCTTGAGCTGGGGGTGTGGCGGAGAAGGAGTCTGGGAGAGCCCTGGCTTCTTCGGAGGGATGGGAGGAGGGTTTCCTCGGTCGACTCGGGCTACCCCGGGAGTCTTTAGGCTGGTCCGACCGACGGGAGGGCAGGTGCCGAGGCCCACGTCGCCGCCGGGGCCCCCCGCGGGCCTGGGGGGCGGCCCCGCCTGGGGGCCCGTGAATCTCGACAGCGCCTGGGTCACCGTGTTCCGGGCCAGCTGCTTGGCCACGAGGTTGTCACGACTCGTGGGGGACACGTCCCTGGACGGGGGGCTCTGCGTGGTGTTCCCGTTCTGGTCCGCGTCGTTGGCGCTGGCCTGGAATCGGAACCTGGCGGCCTGGACGCGCGGGTTGGGCCCCGGGGGGAAAGCGGCGCTGGTGCCCGGCGGGTGTGAGCCGGGCGCGGGCGGCGGCGGCGGCGGCGGCGGCGGGGGGGGGCCCTGGGGGGCGGCGGCACCTGCGGGGGGCGGGGGCGCAGAGCCCTGGGGGGCGCTGGCACCTGCGGGGGGCGCGGGGCTCTGGGGGGCGCTGGCACCTGCGGGGGGCGCGGGGCCCTGGGGGGCGCTGGCATCTGCGGGGGGCGCGGGGGGCGCAGGGCCCTGGGGGGCGCTGGCACCTGCGGGGGGCGCGGGGGGCGCAGGGCCCTGGGGGGCGGCAGTGCCTGCGGGGGGCGCGGGGCCCTGGGGGCCGATGGCACCTGCAGGGGGCGCGGCGGCGGCGGCGGCGGCGGCGGGGGTCCCGGGGCCCTGGGGGCCGACGGCGCCCGCGGGGGGCGGGGGCCCGTTCTCCTCGGGCCTGCGGGCGGCGGGGGGCGGCGGGGGCGCGGCCGCCAGGTCCCCGGGGGCCGCCTGGCGCTCGGGGGGCGGCCGGCCGGGCGGGGCTCCCGGGCCCGCGGCCCCCCTGGCGCCCCCGGGGCACGGCCGGGCGGGCAGGGGCAGCGGCGGGCGCCGGGCGGGGTCGTCGGGGGCCGCGTCGGTCTGGCAGGCGGCGTGGCAGGGGGCGGGGGCGGGGGCGGGCGGGGGCGAGCGGCGGTCCTTGGCTCGGTCCTTGGCCTGGTCCTTGGCCTGGTCCTTGGCCTGGTCCTTGGCCTTCCGCGGGGGCGCGGGGCCCGGCCTGCGCAGCTGCTCCAGCGCCCGGCGCAGCCGCTCCAGCTCGTCCCGCAGCCCCGCGGCCAGCGCCTCCTCGCGGTGCAGCCGGGCGCGCAGCTGCTCGCGCTCCGTGTCCGAGTCCGACAGCTGCTTCTCCAGGTGCGCCTCCAGGTCGGCGCCCCTCCGCCGCTCGGCGCCCAGCTCCTCCTGCAGGGCCCGGCCGCGCGCCCGCTCCTCCTCCAGCTGGGACACGGCGGCGTCCAGCTTGCGCGCCTCCTCGATGACCTTGCCCGACAGCTGCTTGCACTCCTTGACCAGCATCAGCACCACGTGCTTGTTCTTGCCGCGCTCCTCCTCCAGGCGGGCCGCCAGCTTCTTGTGCTCCTGCTCGAGCGCCTGCAGCTGCAGCTTCTCCATCTCCAGCTGGAAGAGGGCACAGGGCAGCCCGGGTTAGCACGCGCACAACCAACTCTCCCGGCCGGCCGGAGGAGCGCCTCTCGGGCTTTATTCTTATGAACCGTGTGACCACCGGGGGGGGGGGGGGGAGGGGGGAAGGGGGGGGCTAAGGGGCCCCCCTGCGAGGCGGAGGCGGGCAGTCCTGCACCGAGCAAACGGGGCTCAGGGGCTAACGACCTCCGCCTAAGTCAGGGCAGCGGAGGGTCTTTAAACATCTACTAACTGTAGAAAAAGGACCGTAATCTGATACTTCCAATCACAACACAGAGTTCGGAACGTTCTGTTTTGGTGAAAATACAACTCTGCAGGGGAACTGTTCTTACTTACACTTACTTACTTACTTATTTATTTATGTATTTATTTATTTTAAGGTTGAATGTCTTAGGATCATTAACAAATCCTGGAGGCACAATATAAAGAAAAGTACTGAAAACGGAGGACTTGAGTTAAATTCTAAGCTTCTATATTTGCTACTTGTATGACTTTGCTGATTTTTTAGCTTCAAGCTTATGATAGGTTGCCGTGCAAATCCTACAACATCACACATGAACATTCTTTGAAAACCGTAAGAACTAAAGGAATATTTTACTAGGGCTATAATCAATGTCAGGAAACCCAGAGTCCAGCTCCATGTCCTCCAATCCTATCTGTTTGCTCAGCTCCCACTCCACCCGCCTCCCTGGTTCTCGCCTGGCCTTGGGGTCCTCGACTTTCCTGTCTCTCGGCCCAGAATCCCACCACGCACGGTCATTCTGGGCTCCCGGGCTAAGCAGTTTCTGGCCCGCACAGGGACGGCCAGCTGGCGAGGTGAGTGGGAGCCAAACTCCAGCCCTGTCCACTCCCCCATCGTCTGCCCAGGCGCGGGATGGCACCTGCCTGGAGAGGAGGGCACCTTTCCCTTCACGAAGAGACCCTGTCTGCTCGCCACGCCACAGGCCACTAGGATCCACGCTTTCCAAAGGAACACTTTTCTAGTCGATCGGCGTAGGGGAGGAGCTTTTAAAAAAACCTCTGTATTTCCGGGGGGGGGGGCTTCCAATATGCGTAAAAGCACCCAACGCACAGAAGTCTGACGTCCTCATTCCTCCAGGCCTCTGCGCAGCGCCTGTCCGCTTCGCTGCGAGGGCTCCTTCTCAGCGCCCAGCTGAAAACAGTGGTCCCTCCCATCCCTGTCCCTCGCTCTCGCCCTTTGTTTTTAGCGCCTTCCTGCCCCCTCTGGCACGTGACTCCACGAGGGCAGGGACTCTGTCTCCTTTGTGCTGCGCTCCCAAGACCCAGAACAGTATCAGGCACGCGGTGGCGGTCAGCACATCGGTGAGTGCAGGAATGAAATCAATCTAGTTCAGGGAAACCACAAACTTCTGCACACTGATGGCCCTTCCGGGAGCACGGGCCTCACAGCCTCAGAGATGCACGACTGTAACAGGTTTGCACAGGTGTCTCTCTTCTTTCCAGGGGACCGCCTGCTGCCATGAGGGGCTCACAAGGACAAATCCCCGAGCTGGGTGGCAGCAGTCAGGAAGGTTAGGAGGCCTCACCTTCCCAACTACAAAAGCATCCCTTTGGTAATCCATGAAACGGATTTCTGACTCACAAAGGTTAAAGTAGATCTACCTGATAAGGACGCAGAAGGGACTCCCCCCATCCCACGGACCACCACCCCAGATGTTACATGTAAACATGCTCTCGGAGATCCAGTAATTATTTAAGTCAGTTTTTAGTCATCAGTAACAGAGGAAGGAGAGGCTCACATGACCGACCCACTGGTTGTGAGAATGTGCTCCTGTTCCTCACCCTGCTGAGAAAATCCATTACTTTCCCAATCAGTCATGGAACCAAAAGGAGAGAATGGCTCATTAGAGTCAGCGATATTATTCATTGACTTTAGGATGCTTCCTGCCTTGAAAAAGATGAATGGCATTGCATAGGTCCCATTAACAGGTGGCCAGGAATACAGGTAATTCCCCGAGAATAATCAGTGACAACTGTTTATACACATACACTCGACTCTACTATATGTGATTTTTGGGGTGTCTTCATAAATAGATTAGGTAAGATGTGGGGAACAAGGGCGCCGTCATATATTTATGTGCATATTTTATTATGTAGGTGCCTCACAGAAAATTTGACTTTTAATAGTCAGAAACACATTCAACTCTTCTAACTGCATCAAATAGTTTCTGATGAAGGCATGGCATACACAGAGTCAGAACTGTGAAGAAAATTCTAAATTTTGTATTAACCACTGCCCCAATTCTTTTACAACAATGTTGGGAAAAAAGCCAAACTAGGTCAGTTTTCAGCTTTTTTTAAAAAAGAGGAGTTCCATAATTTACCTTGGAAGCTGGAAAAAAGAAAGATGCTTTGTAGAACTTTAAGGGCTACCTTCATTTTACACAACGACTAACTAGAAGCCAAATTAGTGCTCTCTCTGATGTCATCGAGTTAACCAGTGTCAGACTCCTGGAACTCAGATTTCCACTTGTCTCCAGCTTCTCTCACCACATCATAGATCTTGCTCACATTATTTCTTCACTAGGGGTCATAAGTTTTTTGAAAAATTTATTTTGAAGACTTACACCTCACACTTGAGAATCAAATTTAAGAGACACTTCTAACAGGAGATCGGCTCAACAAATCTCACATATTCATACAAAAAATTATACTCCTATAAAAGCACTCATAATTCTTTTGCATCTATGTTCTTGCATCACTCAGACCTTACAAGTCCTATCTCAGATGAACACAAGTCTTCTAAAATCTTACCATAGATAGTGGAGCAGAGAGGAAGTCACACAGTCAATCCACCTACACACACAGGGCTCCAGCCTCAATGGAGTTCCGAGCCCGTCATCAATCGCTCTACCCTGGTTTAGCCTCCTCTACCGTTTACACTTCGGGGAATATTTAGGCTTCTGCCATTCTCCGCAGAACATCACCCGACGACCACTCAACTAACTCTCAGTCTACCGTGATAGTCTTTTACCAAGAAAATTCACTCCCTGTACATCCTCTCTCTCCCTGAAGCGTATTTTTTTTAAATACCCACACCAAGTTCTATTTCCTTCCCTTTACTCTAAGGGAGAAAAATTTCCATCTGTTCAAGGTCAGACTGTTTCGACAATTAACCTGTCACCTGAGACTTGCTCCATCAGTTATTATACGGCTCTTTATAAATAATAAACATCCCCCTCTGTACCAGCTGCTTCCAACTGGTTTATAAACATATTCCATACTTAAAAATATTTTTTATATTAAAAAAAAATCCATGGCCATTCTGGCCCAGGGACAAAGTTTTTGTGCTTGCAAGAGGTAAGAGATGTAGTACCAAGGTCTGATCCCAAACTTCTTAGCTGTGTGACCTTGGTAAATTCTCTCTAAAGATCGGTTCTATTTGGTTCCCTTATCTGCACCATAGAGCAATACTTATTACTTTATAAGATCAAATGAGGCAATGCATGTAATAAAGCATGTATCATTGTGCCTGGCATTGAAAAATGTTATGTTTTCAATTCATAATATAATAATTATTTGTGCTATTTAAAAGTATTAATATAAAATGAAAAAAACTAACTAGATAGGCTTAATAGATTTGAGAGAGTAGAATAAAAAAGGACAACGAATTTGAAAATAGAACAAAAGAAAGTATCCTATTTAAGGAATATAAAAAAAATGATTGAAAAAGTGAACAGCACCTCAGGGACCTGTAATATAAAGTGTTACAGGGACGATACAAAGTGTTTTAAATTCTACATAACTGGGGTCCAAAATGGAGAGAGAATGGGGAAGAAAAATGAAGAAAAAATGGCCAAAAAATTCACAAATTTGGTAAAAAAAAAACAAATCTAGAAAGCTCAGTAGTCCTAAAGTCACATATATGTATTATATATATTATATATATATATATATATAAAATCATACCTAAGCACATCATAGTATAAATACTGATAACAGGGATAAGAAATGATCTTGAAAGCAGCCAAAGAAAAAAAGACACATTATAAACACAGAAACTATAATATAAATGATAATAATATAAATTATTATCTCTATTTGGAACAGAATACTCCAAGACTCGAGAAGCTACAGTCTTTCCAGATGCACTTGCTGAGCTATTAAAACCACCAACAATTTACAGAAGACTAAAGTCTTACAGATTATGTTCTCTGACAACAGAATTAAATTGTAAATAAATCACAGTAAGATATTAGGAACAGGCCAAAATTCAAAAACAAAACAACATATTTCTAATGAGAAATCACAAAGGAAATTAGAATATATTTTGTGCTGAATGAAAATAAAAACACAACATCAAAATCTGTGGGATGCAGTGAAGGAAGAGAATTTAAAGCATCTAAAGCAGAGAATAGAGAGAAATTTCTATCTCTAATTGTATATATTAGAGGAGTTGTCTCAAATCAATCATCTAAGTTTCACCTTAGGAAGCTCAAAAAAGGCAAATTAAATATAAAGTAAAAGGAAATAATAACATAGGTAATAAATCAATGAAATAGGAGACAAATACTAGAGAAATTAACAAAGCCAAACATTTTTCATCTAAAAAATATTATTAAGCAGTTAGCAAAAGAAGACTGAGCAACATAGAAAACACAAATCGTAAAAATTAGGCTTTTATGAGGGAATATAACTACAGAAGGAATATTAAAGAATAAGGATTAACTTTGTGTCAATAAATTCAACAAATCAAATTCCTCTTTAAACACACAACTTTTAAGATTGCCATAAATTGGAATGGCTTCCTATCTTTTAAGGAAATTGAATCTACAAATAAAAACTTTCCCCCAAAGAAAATTTCTAGCTCATATGGCTTTACTAATGACATCCACCACACATTTAAGAAAGAAATCGTGCCAAACTTATACATACCCTTCCAGAAAATAGTGAAGGAAATGTTCCAACTCACTTTACGATCCCAGAATTGCATTCAAATCAAAACCAGTCAAGTA